CACACAAATCCCCACTTGCTTCTTTTAAATGGAAGAAAATTGTATCAGCATGTGTAAAGATGAACAGCGAGATCAGGTAGATGAATTTAATTTCTCATTGCGGTACTTATGTTCTCCATCAGTGACAGTGAATAAGACCCTTGGTGTGTCTAAAGGAGAAACTAATTTATTGGTATCTTTTCACATCAGTTTAATCCCATATATTTGCTTATATATTTAAAGCCAACAAGTTTTTAGTCAAAATTATATAATGGCTAAATGTCTTTTGATATATCTGTCATATAGAATGTAAAACATGAAGCACTATACATCCTTGAAATGGTAGTTCTAAAATGTTAAGAATAAGAAAAGTAGAAAAAAGGACTTAGAAAATCACATTGTTGAATATACAGGGCTAGATCCCTAGCTGGTGTGAACCAGCTTACCTACAAATTGGGTATGCATCCAGCCCATAGTTTGTATGCTCCTCTCATTGGGAGCTTACTGAGGCTTTAACCAACAGAAAAAATCTCAGACATTAGTGGTATTCTTGTTCAGCTACAGTTTTCCAGAGAGAGATGAGGAGCCCCTTCAGGCCCTGACAAAGACGCTCTCCTTGCAGTGGGACGCTGCTACGGCATGGAGCCGGCTCAGTAGCGTGCCTGCTCTTCAGTGGCTCCAGTCACAGTCCTTTACGCTAGCTTACGCTAAATAATAGACCCCCTTGTCCAAGATATTTGCCTGTGAACTGGATCAGGCGAGTAAGAGGCACTGGCTTTCCTACTGACTCTGTTCCAAGGGTGGTCATCTCTGACAGAAGAGTGGCACCAGAGGGGTGATGGAGGTGTTATTTCTGTCTTGTGCCACTGCAGCTACTAATTCAGGAAACACCGAGCACGGTCCCTTGCTCTGGTGAGCAGCTGCTGAGCTGCATCATGCTGACAATGAAAGCGGCACTATTAGATGTGCGGTCACTCACTGACGTAAGTGCTGAACCCACAACCTGACTGTAGGAGTGGACTTTGCCAAGATTGTAGGGGTGGGCACTATGCTACAACAATTTATAGCTCTTCAGTAGTGCAGCAGAAGACCTTTCATCCTGTTGACATGCAGTGGCAACCTTGTCATGCAGCCTTTGCAAAAATTTCACAGTGACTGTGCTTTTTGAGATGAAAGCTATTCATCCTCTTTACATCCTCTGAGGAAAGGAGCAGAGACACAAAAGCAATGAATTTTGGAGAAACATTGAGGACAATGCACAGCAAGTTTAATATGCTTGATGTACATTAACTGCTATTTGCGTAACCTTTTTCATCCAGCCCAGGCAGCCCTCCTAACCTGAAACCCTAGTGCTCCTGCTTATCCATTCCCAAATTCTCTCCTCATTCTAGTCTAGTCCCATCAGCCTACGGTTTTCCTCTCTCCTTGTTACAGTTTTTACTCTCTATATACTCAGAGCAGTGGACTTTGTCAACCATGCAGGATGGGTCTCAGTGGGAGCATTTCTGAAACACAGCTGAAGTATTCAGTTCCTAGATCAGAGCATTTTTGTACCTCGACCTAGAGCAGCTGGAAGTACAGACCTAGAGCTGCTCCTGCAGTTTCTGTATCAGTTGTGCAACGACAGGATGCTCAAAATACTTCAAGAAAAAAGGTACTTGGTTGGCACATGTGTACCTTAAATATGTATAAGCTTAGATGAGTTTGGGTAGCTTTTCGTTGGACATATCCCTGAGATGAAGGCTATTCTATGCAAAATTAAGCCTAAAAAAATGTGTACATCACATTTCAGTTTCAGGATGTTTAAAGGTCACGAAAAATTATACAGACCATCCAGATGCAGAGCTCTTACTATAGACAATGCTACTAGCCCTGCTTCTCATTTCCATTTAGAGAGAGAGAAAAAAAAAAGTTGAATAATGATTGCATCTGTATGGAAAAGCAAATTATTCTCATAATTATACAACACCCACACATCCTGGAAACAGAAACAGGACATCCAATAGGAAGAGGTGTGGTTTCCATATGACAAATCCTAGCATCTCCAATCTGTTTTGAAAGGAACTGAAGAAAATGGTGAGTGAAAGAGCAATGTACTCAAACATCATTGATCTTTCCTACATCCAAAAAGACTGAATAGAAAGGAAATGAACTCTTATGCTCAGTAATGAGTCTGTTGATGCGCACTGGATAATTCTATAAATATTAAAGAGAGCTACTGGTATTGCTTTGGCACGGAAACCAGAATCACCCTTATACCTCCTCTTTGCTCTCTATTCTCATACCTATTCAAGGTAAACTGGTAAAAGTGGCCTGCAGAAAGTGCACATCTATATTCCATCTTCAATATAAGTAATGCATGGCTCAATTACTTATTCAAAAGTTCTCCATCAATGCCTCCTCAAGTGAAGCTTTAAATGTGCTATATTAACATGAGTCACATGTAGAAAAGGAATTTCCCCAAGTCAAAAATAGTAAAGACATCACCATTTAAGGGAAGAATAAGACAAATTTAAAAAGAGAGGAAAGAAGATTCAGACAAAATATTTTCTCTAAAATTCAGAGACTCTTAATTCTGGACCCCAGATGTGAATTATGTTACATGTTTAAAGTGTACAGCATATACATCATAACTATTATTTCACACTTTCGTAAGAATATGAAGTATCATTTTTTAAGAGATCTTTGATCCATCTGACCTAACTTCAACAGATAGCATATATATTTTATGGCCAACAGTCTGAGTACTTAATTGTACTTATTGTGGTCAGGGCAATACAATACATTTCTCTAGAGCCCCTACTGACCTCTTGCAATGTCCCAGAACATCAATATATTTCAGGATGTTGTTCATTCAGTTTGCTTTTGATTTTCCGGTCTGATGCAAATGTTTAGTGACCTTTTATACCATCTTTTGAGGACTGATTTCCTTCACCTAGTTCTGTGGCCTTCAGAAATGTGTCCACTGACCTATTGCCTGATGTGCAACCTCAGATGATAACCACGATGAATTAGCTTTTAAATCAGCAAGAAAGTAGCATCAGAAATATTATCTCGATGAACAGACTATGCTCTGACAATTCTCCTCATTCTCTGTGCTCAGTCTGTATTTCAGTACGTTATCCATGATTCTCATATACTCTTGCATATAAGCCTATTTCTATATTGAGATACACTATCTCTATATTGACACATATTTGGTATTTTTACTAACATATACGGGTAAAAATGTATTTTGCTACTATCTTAGAAAGTTAAGCTGTGAGTTCAAGAAATATTTTCATGTTCCTATGTTCAGATGCATTTAAATGTACATTTACATCTCCCCAAATGCTGATAGATGGATCAGGTCATACAAGGATCAGGTCTGCCTGTTATGCTTTACATTCTTTTAACATAATTTTCTGAATCCTACAGTATATTCCCAATAAAGCAAATTATTCAAACTTAAAAAAAAATCAAAAGTTTGTAACAGTACAATTATCTTCTATTTTGCCATGATTTATTTTATAAGACTAACTGATCAGAAGATTTACCTGTTATTTGCATCTAAGGTAGAAAATAAGTATCCCTGCATTCACTACACAAGGATCAGAGACCATTTCATAATGATTTAGAGTGCCGATATGCATGCTAATCTCTAGAGCTCATTAGCAACAGGTATGGGAAGATGAACATTGATAAATAGTTGCTATTCTGAAGAGAATTACTCATTATTTTCTATCACTATCTTCATTAAAGTTCCTGGGGAACTACGTTATGAAGAATGAGAGGAAAATCACATCTCATTTCTCCAGGAACAGGCCCTGTGTTTCATAAAACAGTTTCAATTTTTAATTAAAAGTCAGAAAGAGTCAAGATATTGTACATTTTCAGAAATGCAGGATTGAAATGCTAATATTCAGCCATCATTCACCAAAAGATATCCTCTTTCTCTGTGCACCATTTTATTCTTCTGATTTTTAAGGCTGATAGTGATATGTAATCTGAAATGATCACAACATAAATACTGTGACTTTTCTGATGAAAGATGATAGGCCGTTAGTGTTCAGACCGCACACGCGGCAGAAAAGGTAACTGTCATCAATGTATATTCCTGGATGGTTTTTATCTCTAAAGACAATTTTTGGTGAAAGGACACATTTTGAAATGGAGTAGAAACAAAAACATTTATATCCATGAACTTAACCTTCTGGAACCAGTGAGGAGTACATCACTACAGCTCCATCTCAAATAAATACATACAACGTCAACATTTAAAAAAAAATCTCCTCAGTATTCAGAATTGGGAGTGAAGAGCTCTTCCACTGTTTTACCTCTAGTCTTCTTCCGAAATTGAAATCACATCGTTAACTACACTAAGTTTCCTGGGTTTTGAAAGGATTTCCATTAAAGTATTACTTGATCCCTTCCTGAGTGATATAACAGAATGGATTTTAGAGGTAAGTAATAAGGGCAGTTTTGCAGGAACCTCAGGAAAATGGGTTGTACAGTAGGCAACAGAAAAGCATGGGAAGCGCTAGCTTCAGCTCTAGGCGCAATGCCAGCCACCCACTGCGGGGATGTGAGAAAGCACAGGCCCTGCTTGGCATCACTGCTCCCAGTTTCCTAGTGGGTCTGCACTGTAAACAGTATTTATCTTTCCTGAAATTATTTTTTCCCTATGCAGGAGGGCAGAACAGAGCATAGGGATTGGTAAATATCCCTAGAAATTTGATTTAAAGGAAATGAAATTGTCAGTTTACACTTCTGGTGCTCATTCAAAGAGCAGTAAGACACAAAAATATTTTAGGCTCATTCAAACTGTTGCTTTCTAATCTGAAACAACAAAAGGAACACATTGAAGGGAGCACCACACCACAGTTGACTTTGCCAGAAACAAACTTACCTACCTCAAAGACCCAGTGAATGAATCCAGCAAAATGCCACATCATATCTCCAGTCTGCATTTGCTGCCATTCAGACTGAGATAAGTTTTATCTTCTTCAAGGTATTGCATTATAAGTGCTTCAAAAATGACCTCATTTTTCAAAAGTTTTATTGTTAAGTTTGAAGACTAGACAAGGTCATACTGGTTTTACATCATTCTACATGATTTAAGTATATACAAAACCATTTGAATATTACACAGCTTGAAAGGTTGCAAAGGTCATTGTGTCTGAGATACTTCTGTACTTACTGACACATCAGAAGCCAGCACTGAATATTATAGTTCATATTTGTTGTATAGCAAAGATACACTCATTTAGTATCCTTAGTCTTCAAAACTCACACTAATTTGTATGCAGTCATTTCAAAAGAGAAAGTCAACCTCAAAACCAGAACCAGTTAAAGTGATAAGCCCTTAACGGAACAGAGATAAAACTAAGCCTTGTGCCTTTGTTTTACTTCTTAGGCTATAAAAGTAAGCACATTATAGAGCTATAGAAAGGTGAAGTCTGCCTGCAAATACTTAACTGGTTCAGGGTGAAATTTAATTAGGAGAACATTTTCACTCTTGTTCAATGTCATTGTAACAACTAACACAAAATTGGAAGATTATTTCAGAACGTTTTTCTGTCCGCTCTTAAAGGAACATACCCTATACGCGTCCTGTGTTTGGAATGCCAATTGCTTTCATCAGGAGAATACAGTAGTGTCCGTTTAGAATGTGTCCCTTAACGACGATCATTTTCATGCAAAGAGGAAAATAAAATTAAAGGAAATAATCCTAACTATGGGCCACATCTGACTCTCATCTGTTTTGTTAAACCTGAAATAATTCCATAGAAATCAAGAGTTATTTCAGATTTAAACTGCTGGCACTAGCAGCAGAATCTGGTACCATGGCTACACAATGCCATCTAAAGAAAGCTTTTGGTTAACCAAGGAATTAATTATATCATTAGAAAAAGCTCCAGTACATCAGCTGAAAATGTAAGGGCAACATATACATGATGCTTTTGGAAATTATCGCAGAGCGCTATCACAATGTACGGAGCTTTGTTTTCAGATTCTGAAGAATGCTAATAAATGAAAGCTGACTATGAACCAAAAGATGAAAATATTCAACTCTAAATTATTACAAAATAAAATGACTACATTAGGTAGCATGACAACACTCACTTAATATGCAGATGAACAGGTAACATAACTAAATTACTAAACCAAAAGTTTAAACTAAATCAAAACTGGAGTTGCAAAGGATGAATAGATATGAAAAAAATCACTTAAGAACACAGAACAAACACATTAAAACGAACTACTGAACTAGGAAGCTTAATTTTCAAAAATGGCCTTCCATTTTTGGGGTACACAGTCAAGTAGTTAAATACCTATGTGCTACTATTCATATCTTTAATTAAATTCATGGTCAATTGCTCTCCCAAAACAGGAAAAAGGTTTTGGACCCCTTTAAATATTATGTGCCCCCTTAAAATATTAATATTACTACCTTTCTTTTTTTTTTTTTTTCCTGGAGGAGCCTAAAGTGCAAAACATGGGCAGTAAATAATTTAGGAATACATCTGTCCTCCATTTTTCAGAAATTTTTTGCTCTTCAAAAATACCATCATGATTGACTTTCTCTTTAAAATTGCTCACTACGCTTGAAGACCGCTTCATATATACATCATTAAGGAATGCTGTTAACACAGTTACAGACAAGACAGTAACAGTCTAGTGGCTTTTGTTATGCAGCACAAAGTAAAAAATAAAAAAACAAACTTAGCAGTGTTGCACAGGACCTCAACATTTCTTACACGTACTCTTACCTTTTGCCTTTATAAGACTCTTCCTTAAAAGTCTTATGTCTTTAAATGTCTAAGCCTTCTAAAATAAATACTTGTGTAAATACAGTTTAAGGAGTAAGTCACTTTATAGGGGCAGGATGTTTTGTGTTTTAAAATGCAAAAATTTAAGTGACACTTATCAGAAAACCTCCACAAATTAATCCTAAATTCTTGTTTGGAAAATTCCTGGCTGCTATTCTGGGGTCTTTCACAGTAAAATGGACTATATTTCGTCTGTGGTGGAGAATGTGAGATTAAATGCAGGTTTTGAAATCCAAACCATTTTGCTTCCAAAGTAAACTTTGCCCTTTGCATATTGTGGGCCAGCTAGTTGTTTATCTGGGAAGCAGGGCCCAGGTTCATACCTCAGTATTTTAGTTTCAGTGAGAATGCAATGGTGGCAACAAAGAAATTCAGAAACACTTCTTAAAACATGCAGCCCTATACATCTACATCAGCATGTTATGAAATTAAAATAGTGACAGTAAAAGCATTTCATGCCTTCAGATAAATAAAACAGTCCCTCAACCCATTGCTCCAAGAACTTTTAAGATTCGGGTGCTACAATAACAAAACCTGGCTTTCACATAGCGCTTTCCTCCCAGGAACTCCAGGTGCTTTACAAAGCTGGGTATCACTATTCCCATTGTCACAGGGACACTGAGGCACAGAGAAGTGACTTGCCCAAGACTGCATGACAAATAAGCCCCAGAACTGTGACTGCAACAAACTTTCCTGATTCCTGTATTATACCCGAGACCTACTAAATCGCACCCTCCCAGAGGCTGCTTCAAGGAGCGGTGGCTTGTGAGCGAGTCGCCTGCCATGCTGCTGGGGAGCCTGGCAGCTGCTTTGCTTCCAGGGACTGCAGCAAGGCGTAGCCGGGCCCACTGCCTCCCGCTCCCACTTTATCGCACTGCCGGTCTGGGCTGCCCGTGGATTGCTAACTACTACAGCCCTGGAATATTTCATGTCCTCCCTAGTGTTCTGTAATTTTTCCTCTTAAACCTACCTTTGACACCTTAGAATTGGCTCATAGCTGACTATCATGTTGGTAAAACAATGTAGCATACATGAATCATTTCTGTAGCTAAGACATGACAAAAAATCAGCCTCCACGTGGCTCAGAGACACACGTCTGAAAAGACGTGGTCAGGAGCAGATCCCAAGTGCCCAGCTTTTATGAGCGCCTACAGCCTCAGTTGCACTCATGTTTGGGAGGAGCTTTGTGACAGGCACTGCAAAAAGAGCCTAACAAGATGGCCTCCTGGGAGTGAGGGAGTCATTCCTTCTGTGCATCTTTTAGCACCTAATTCCTTCATCCCACAGTTTCCTCCTCACAGAAATGAAGGAGCCCTCCGACCGAAGTAATCAGGCAGGCAGCTCCATCTAGGGTTGTGCGCTCACTCCTGGGCAAGGCACAAAATGGGCTCAAGATTTATGCTACACCATGTGCCTGTATCCATGTGAGTGCTTAAGGTGAGATAGCACAAGCAGCCTGGAGTCTGAGCTCAGACTCCCTGAAAAAAAGCATCTCAAGCAGAATTAATAAACTTTGACAAATTCATTAACTTCATAATATACTGATAGCAGATTTTGTTCCATATGCAGGCAGGTCACCTCTTCCAAAGAAAATAACAGTGATACTAAACAGAAAAAATGGAGACTGTGTCTATAGCATGCAAAATAGAGAAAGAAAGTGGGGTTACTTAAGAAAACCCTTAGTTGCACGAACTCTGCAGTTCAGACAAATGTAATGAAAGGTAGCTTGCAATATCACAGGTACTGTATTTTTATAGTACCACAGAGTATCTTTCAAAATATATGTCATACTGACAGTGTTTGATAGGCACAAGGGAAACAATTACTATAATGCAGTCATCCCAGAGAAAACTTATTGCTAAAAGCTGCAGTATCACTTTTTGCAAGTAAGATGACAGTATGATTTACGGAGAACTTGTTGGCCCTGTGTTTCTAAAGCTGTAAATGAGCTTTGTCATGCTATTTCTCTTTCCTTGGAAAAAGGATGCTGCTGTTCTTCCCTAACACATTTCAACCAGTGTGAACAACTTAAAAGAAAACTAGAAAGATAATTCCACAGCAAAAGGGACAACACTGTAACGGATTTAAAGGACAAAATCGGATTGGATCATTTAAAGGGCAGGCTTAGACCTCCTTGCGAAAGACAGTTAGCGGCCTACCATAAAGTGAGCACTTGTTCATGAAAAACCCATTCAGCTTCCTACAGGTTTTGCACAGTTTCTTCTACAGAGAGACTTTTAGGGATATAGAGAGTTGTGATGCCTCTAACGAAGATCCGTGTCAGTCCTCCTCTGTGCAGCCCAACAGCTCAGACCGTAAGGTGATCCTGCCATACCACGACCACGGGAGGATCCTTATGTGCCGAGCGTAGATTGGAGGGTCAATGACGTTCTTTCGGTGTGTGTCATTGTCAAAATTTCCCTGGAACACCTGTAAGGTAAGTAACAGAAAGATTTATATCTATATTGGCATTTGTGAGTGCTGAACAATGACAGAAAGAGTGAAGAAAACCGAAAGAAAGTGTTTCTTTCCACCCTAAGTAAAACCAGACACCTGCCAGATATGACAGACTCTTCCTCTATACGCAGAATTGGTTTCACAGCAAACAGCTCCTACTCGTTTGGATTATGTCTGACAAATACTGCATCAGTCATAGCCCAGAACCAGAACTGCACCCTTCTTTAATTAAACTATAAATACAGTATTTCACAAAGGGATAGGAAAATGTATGTTATTATGATATTGGGTAAATGTTTCTGAATGTTTCTGAAACAGAAAAATGTCCGAAAAATAATGTCACCTTGCTAAGCAGGGACTATTGTGTGACTCGGTGATCTCCACTACAAGCTACAGTCTGAAACATTTTCAAAGCATGGGATACGGCTAAGATGTGGATAACGGGTTAAGTACTGTGATGTTCAATTCTGCAGTGCCGACGAGATACACTTAACTACGGAAATGTTATTTGCAGTGCTGAATTAACAGCATAATTGCCCATCTTAAGCCAGATTCCAGATGCCCTAAAGTGCGGCTCCAAAAGGAAGTGACAAAAGGAGTGACTTGTCTGAAACTCTGCAGAGCAGGGCCAAGTGGGAGAGATATCCAGCTCAGAAATCCTGAAATTCAGTGTGCAGGACATGCTCCCCAGAAGTGGAAACCCGTCAGAGTCTGCTGTAGGCACCAGAGAAGGGCCAAGGATCTGACGAGATCCCTCAGATGCTGTGGGACCTAGCAGCAATGTGGGATCCACGGGGAGGAGGAGGAGGAGGCACTACCTCCCTTGCGGTTATGCCACAGTTCTGGTGTCTCCAGCCAGCTCCCTGATCATCCTTGCTGACTTTTGGTCCCAGGCTGGACACCGGACTGATGCTCCATAGGGCACCTCCACTTAATTGAGGCCCATGGATTTCACTCTTTGCCAGGGTCCTCAGAGCTGCCTATTAGTCTAACGTGCTCAGCCATGGTGCAGATCCAGCCTTTGATTCAAAATGCAGAGATTTATCTGCTGTTCTGTGAACATCCATGGCCTCATTCCAAAAGTTACATCAAAATCATTAACATTTAAAAAATTAAATGTCTTATTACTTGACATTTGTATCATGTCAAGCTAATCCAGGGAGATGCTGCTATTGTTTCACATAGAAGAACATTAGTAAAGTATAGAACAAACTTTATCACTTACGAATACATTCTGGATGCAAACCTATATCTCATTCTAAAGTTAGTGATTATCAAAGACACATCTTCTGTCAAACAAAAGTCAGCATATGATATAATGGCATCAGTTTGCAGGAAAGTCTGTGACTGCATTAAAAAATCATAATACGGAGTGTAGTGCATGTTCAGATTTATTTCCACTGGTATGAGTTAGCCAATATATAAGTGAATACCCCGACTTCAGTTTGTGTTAAGACAATGCCAGATTTTTCCCCTAACAGCTACTATTTAAATTCAAAGGCCACAGCACTATTTTCTGGCAAAATGATCAAATTATTCTCCCCGGGTATTTTTAGTTTATATGGGAAATGTTCATGCCCTTCAAATGTCAGCCAATTCACTTTTCATTTACAAAATCTGTATTTGATGGCTTTTCGGTGGTCTATTTGAAATGAAAGAATGAGTTAAGTTTGTATCAACCAGAAAAGAATATGAACCTCCTGGAACAAGTGCTTATGTGACCGAATCAGTGCAGAATGATAAGTTTGTTGGAAGTTCTGAGGAAAAATGTCAGAGGTTGAATTCAAAAGAGACTAACCTACTATTTTAGCCCTTAAGCTGGTTCCTCCTTGACATGTTTACAACACGCTGTATGAAAATCTTCACTTTTTGGTCTCTATGCTGTATATTTTCTTTGAATTTTGAAAGCTTCTCTCAGGTGCTATCAATTTGGCATCTCAAACAAAATATGTGTATCCTCCAGAAGTGATGTTCTTTCACAAGTGATAAATTTCCCTTCTAGTCTGGCACCTCACTAATACAGAGATGGGAGCATTAAAGCACCCAGCAGTCAAGATAGATAGATAAAATTATAGAAGATGGACCACAGAAACAACAGTGCTATGAGTCTAAGGAAAAAAAAAAAGTATTTACCATAGAAAAATTGTTTGTTGCTTGAATACAGTATTGATTATATAAATCAGCTGGAGCTTGGGCTAACAAGATTGCTTTTGAATTTGTGTTTCATTTGTGGCAATACTACATACAATAAAAGACAACAAGCTCATTACTAAAATTGTAGAGCGGTAGCCCCCCAGCATATAATATGGATCCCAAAAAGCCTAAAAATAGGGGGTTTTCCTCATTTGATTTCTTGCCCGGGCATGCAATATAGTCACTGATATTTCAAAATATTTTTACCAAGCCAGATGATAAGCACTAGTAGCAATTCTTGCTGCAGAGCTAATGGAAAATCCTTTTACTCTCTATTTTATTTTCCCTATGGAAGATGTAATTCAGAGACAGTATTTAAACTAAAAATTAGAGTAAAAAACTTATTTGTTTACCAGAAGAACCTATCTAGAGCCCCAGTATTCCTCTTCACATACAGCTATGCAAAATAAATAAAATTAGGTGGTGCAAACCAAGCAACAAATACAGCAAAACAAGGTAGGAATTATGCCATTTACTTAGAGCAGGAAAATAAGAGGTAAATTATATTTCTAATTCAAACATGATTTCATTAGTACTTGAAGTCAAACTCACCTGTTTTAGAGGTGCCAAGTTAATTTATGTAAATCTGAAATGCATTTTGGAACCTCCCCCCGCAAAATCCAAGATCGAGTCTCAAGAAATTAATGTGCTAGACCAGAACAAGGATTTGAAGGAAAAAAATTACCAGAAAGTGAGAGGAGCTTTGCCAGCATCCACAAATGAGACTAGCATGAAATATAATATTCCTAGAGCAAATTCACTGTTTTGTTCCATTAGCCTTGCTGTGGACTCAGTGAATTTATTATGGGAAAAGTGTACTCTTTGTTATTCCTAATCTTTACCTCAGCCTAGCTTCACTAACGGAGACAAGATACTAGGAAAGAGTATGGATAATGAGAAAAAAAATCATTTTTTTAATCAGCAGAAAAAATCTGTTTCAGTAGCCAAGAGTAATATTGTCTTTAATTACCTTTGCTTTGTGGCCATATAGTTAATATTAGACGACTCAACTTAGCAATTAAAAGCTCTCAAAAAGCTGGTAACCTCATTTCATAAAAGATCACTGCTCACACTGGTTTCTAAGTAGTACTTTTTAGTGTACAACATTTCTGAAAATCTTAACAACTATTTACTAGCATTCAAGAAACAGATCTGGAAATTATAATACATAGGTCTAAGAAATTCTTCAGATCAACGCCCAGGAACAGTAAGAAACAATCTGAAAAGCTGGCAAGGAATAGAGAACAAAGTATTAAGTACAAACAAGAACAAAATATTAACGTCTCAGTGCATAAATCCAGAGCATATGTATCCACATTTTGAGTTCAGGATGGGTAATGCTCCAGTCTTCCCCTGTCTCAAACTGGATAGGAAACACAGAGTGAAATGACAAGATGGTCAAAAGCATGAAAAAAATATCCATTTGAAAATGATTAAATAGACTTAGCCTCCTGAAATGAGAGATAATAAATGCCTATAAAATCATTAATGTTAATTCTGTTGTATGATCATTAATCATAACTATGATAAACTGTGGCACTCTATTTCCCACAATAATTAAGTACTGTTAAAGATCAGATAAACTGTTAGATGCAAAATCAGTCAAGGGCAATTAAACATATAGACAGAAGACATCCGGAGGCTGGGAGGGTACGCTAGAGAACAACAACTGCCCTATAGCTTTTTCTGCTCTAGTCACCTGCTGTGGATGCTCCCTGCCTTGGAGGGAGGACACTGGTGTGGGTAGAGCTTTAGCCTCACCCAGCACAGCAGCTGCCACGTGCCAGCTGCTTGTGCTTGTAGAAGTGGATTCAAGCTCCTCCTTTTTGACAATCCTGTTCTAGAATGCTAAAAAATATAGTGGTTTTATCTACTGATGTCAGTCTGCATGCTTACAAGATGTCATTTACTGAAATATTTACTTAGACGCTGCAGCAAGTTTACACATATACAATCCCCACACGCATGTGCAGCTCCTGTGTAGCTTAGTCTCCTACAGCTGTTATTGAAAAAGCAAAAAATGTGTATTATTGCACTTTTAATATAATAGCTTATTTTATTATCCGTTCATGCAAATGAGAGTGAAAACCTGGAAAATATGTAATGATACTCTCTGCGCACAGATTTCTGAAATATTTATAACTCTTGTTTATAATTGTGCCAGACAAACAATCTTGATGTCTTGCCTTCAAGCACTCACTCAGATTTTTCAATGGAATGAAGTATTTTATGGCATAAGCACCAAATCTGAATCATGACAATGTAAGTTGATTCATATTTTTAAAAGAAAACTATTATATATTTTATGATATAATAATTTAGAAGAAATATCTGAAGAAAAATCGCTTGGGAAAACCAGAATGTATTGAAACTGATGTTTGCTTTGCTCCAGACGTGGAGCTCCAAACCAGGTTTTAGGGCATGTCCCCAGGACTAGTTAAACAGGTGGCTGCAGCACCTAAGGTTGTTTGCGGAGCTGTGTTAAGGGATGTGCAAGGAGGATGGAAATTCAGGGACTCTAATTCCCCACAGAGAATCTTGCTTGATCTCGTGTCTTGTAGAAACTTAAATTAGATGAAAAGTCTGCACCGGCCACAGAATTATTGATTGGTGCTACTTATGATAATGGAAGGGAGCGGAGACTTTAACTTTCAAGCCTCAGATTGGTGAAGCCACTCAGTCTTAAACACAATTTTTATTCTAAGCAGAATATTTTAAACATTTTTTTAACTGGAAAAGTTAATTCTGCACAGATTGGAGGCAGCTCAGTTAAAGAGAAT